GAACTACTACAACAACAACTTATTTGATAATGATAAAAGAGCCACTTCTGGAGTGGAGAACACTAAGGGAAAAAACCTTAGTGTCCTCCACTGGGTCATAATAAATATGGCCTTTTTTGCATCTCATCCCAGCTGCTGCAACTGGGATCACAGGCAAGCATGGTCTGGGAGAACAAAATGAAGCGGGACGCAGGCTGATAGAATTTTGCCAGGAAAACTCGCTGTGTATAACGAATACTCTCTTCCAACAACCTAAAAGACGGCTTTACACATGGACCTCACCAGACGGTCAACACCGAAATCAGATTGACTACATCCTTTGCAGCCAAAGGTGGCGGACATCCATCCAGTCAGTGAAAACAAGACCTGGGGCTGACTGTAGCTCAGATCACGAACTTCTTATTGCCCAATTTAGAATAAAACTAAAGAGATCAGGGAAAATACACAGACCAGTTAGATATGATCTCACTAACATTCCTAGCGAAGATACAGTGGAAGTGAAGAACAGATTTGAAGGACTAGATTTAGTAAACAGAGTCCCAGAAGAACTATGGACAGAAGTCCGGACATTGTTCAGGAGGCGGCAACAAAGTACGTCCAAAAGAAAAAGAAAACCAAGAAGGCAAAATGGTTGTCTGCTGAGACACTGGAAGTAGCCCAAGAAAGGAGGAAAGCAAAAGGAAACAGTGATAAGGGGAGATATGCCCAGTTAAATGCGCAATTCCAGAGGTTAGCCAGAAGAGATAAGGAACTATTTTTAAATAAGCAATGCATGGAAGTGGAGGAAGACAACAGAATAGGAAGGACAAGAGACCTCTTCCAGAAAATTAGAAACATTGGAGGTAAATTTCAGGCAAAAATTGGTATGATAAGAAACAAAGATGGCAGGGACCTAACAGAAGCTGAAGAGATCAAGAGAAGGTGGCGAGACTATACAGAAGATCTGTATAGGAAGGATAATAATATTGAGGATAGTTTGACGGTGTGGTGAATGAATTAGAACCAGACATCCTGAGGAGTGAGGTTGAATGGGCCTTAAGAAGCATTGCTAACAACAAGGCAGCAGGAGACGATGGGATCCCAGCCGAACTGTTTAAAATCTTAAAAGATGATGCTGTCAAGGTGATGCATGCCATTTGCCAGCAAATATGGAAAACACAAGAATGGCCATAAGACTGGAAAAAATCAACTTATATCCCCATACCAAAAAAGGGAAATGCGAAAGACTGCTCAAACTTCCGTACAGTGGCCCTTATTTCTCATGCCAGTAAGGTAATGCTCAAGATCCTGCGAGGAAGACTCCAGCAATACATGGAGCGAGAGTTGCCAGATGTACGAACTGGGTTTAGAAAAGGCAGAGGAACGACAGACCAAATTGCTAATATCTGCTAGATAATGGAGGAAGGCAGGGAGTTTCAGAAAAACATCTATTTCTGTTTTATTGACTATTCTAAAGCCTTTGACTGTGTGGATCATAATAAACTGTGGCAAGTTCTTGGTGGGATAGGCATACCAAGCCACCTTGTCTCTCTCCTGAGGAATCTGTACAAGGACCAAGTAGCAACAGTAAGAACTGACCATGGAACAACAGACTGGTTCAAGATTGGGAAAGGCGTACGGCAAGGCTGCATACTCTCACCCAACCTTTTTAACTTGTATGCAGAACACATCATGCGATGTGCGGGGCTGGATGAATGCAAAGCTGGGGTGAAAATTGCTGGAAGAAACATTAATAACCTCAGATATGCAGATGACACCACGCTGATGGCCGAAAGCGAGGAGGAGCTGAGGAGCCTTCTAATCAAGGTGAAAGAAGAAAGCGCAAAAGCCGGGTTGCAGCTAAACGTCAAAAAAACCAAGATTATGGCAACAAGAATGATTGACAACTGGAAAATAAGAGGGAGAAACCGTGGAGGCTGTGACAGACTTTGTATTTCTAGGTGCAAAGATTACTGCAGATGCAGACTAGCCAGGAAATCAGAAGATAACTTCTTGGGAGGAGAGCAATTACCAATGTTGATAAAATAGTGTAGAGACGTCACACTGGCAGTGAAGATCTGCATAGTTAAAGCAATGGTATTCTCTGTAGCTACCGGATGTGAGAGCTGGACCTTAGGGAAGGCTGAGCGAAGGAAGATAGATGCTTTTGAACTGTGGTGCTGGAGGAAAGTGCTGAGAGTGCCTTGGACTGCGAGAAGATCCAACCAGTCCATCCTCCAGGAAATAAAGCCCGACTGCTCATTGGAGGGAAGATACTAGAGACAAAGTTGAAGTACTTTGGCCACATCATGAGGAGACAGGAAAGCCTAGAGAAGACAATTATGCTGGGGAAAGTGGAAGGCAAAAGGAAGAGGGGCCGACCAAGGGCAAGATGGATGGATAGCATCCTTGAAGTGACTGGACTGACCTTGAGGGAGCTGGGGGTGGTAACGGCCGACAGGGAGCTCTGGCGTGGGCTGGTCCATGAGGTCACGAAGAGTCGGAGACGACTGAACGAATGAACAACAACACCTTAGGTCCTTCTCCTCTCCAACTGGCAGGAACACCAACTGGAACCAACTGGTCTATTGTGGGGGGGGGGGGGGGGGATTCAATTGCTCCCTTCCTGCCCTCCAGTTGACTTGTTCTGTCCTGGGGTGTGTGTTTTTCTGCATCTCTTCCCAGCTGCTGCAAATGGAGGCTCAATTCCCATACAATGAAATGTCTTCTGCTGAATCTACACACAATATCATTTAAGCTTTAGGCCAGTGTTTCTCAAACCCTGCTTCTCATGGTGTTTTGGGCTTCAGCTCCCAGAAATCTCAGCCAGCTTACCAGCTGTTAGGAATTGTAAGAGCTGAAGCCCTCCATGGGTAGTGTTTGTGAAACACTGCTCTATGCAATCTTAAATGCAAGTATCCCTGTTCACATTAACATAGCCTACATTGTTGGTGTGTTTAGAAGACAGCCATTTCAAATAAATAAAGCAGCAATTAGAATAGCATGTTAGGATTTTACAAACAGCTTTTTGATACATTAGAATTTAAACTGCTTTCAGAAATCAAAGCATTGCAATGTAAAATGATCTTGTAGAAAGCCAACTAACTGTGCCCCCTTTCCATGTTAACCTATGCTAAATCTCTCCTTTTTGGTTTTCTGCTTTTTATAAATGTTATCCACTGCATTATCCATTCTGCATCCTAATGAACCTTCCTCGCCACTACCATCCCCAGCAAGAGTTATAACATACACACACAACAGCAAGGCACACACAATAGCAAGGTGGTAAGTTGCCTGGGTTATCAAAGCCTGTCCCCTTCCCTGCTGCTGGTAACATAGGCTGCCTCATCCTCCCCACTCATAGTTTGTGGAAGCAGGTGCATGTACCAAAACAGAAAGGAATGGGAAAAACATCCTTACCACCTGCCATTTAATGTTTGCTGCAGTGCACTTGTGTCCTGAGAAAGCCTCACCCTGGAACATGTTGTAAAAGGATTCCTGAGATATTGTGGAGGAATTAAATGGTGCAGAGTGCATGCAATGGTTAGAGATCCTGTTTAAGGAGAAAAGACACCAATGACTTGGGGAAACAAATTAAAGACTTTATTATGGTAAGTCCATTACAAGATAGGAAATGAATATAAAGAAGGGAAGAGGTGGAAAACCATCCCTGAGAGTATCAGTTTACATCACAGAAGAGTTACTCAAACTATCTAATCCATGTAACTACTGCTTGGTCTGAGGCATTCTTGACTTCTGGGAGTTCTAATGATTATTGCACTTCTAACATTTAAGGCAATAGCTGCTGCTTTGATGCTTATGAACAAGACTTTGTTGTTGCTTGTCTGCTGATGTCCAGTTCAGCAAAATAAACTGTGGTAAAGGGTGATGAACTGCTTAGAGCTTGAGCTCCAGTAAATGCTCAAGAGTGTTAAACCTGGTACTTAAAGAGCTGAATTAATGATTACTGCAAGCATATAGGATAAATCATATACCAAATGTTTCACTTGGCATTCCTTTTGATGCCTGTAGCCATCCAGGAAAATCTTATTGTGGGAGTTTTGGAATTGCATACTGTTCCATGCTAGCATAGCTTCATTCACATGAAGCATATGCAGGAGGATCTCTCAGTAAAGTTTTGTGCATTACATAGGCAGAGTTAATTTATATTGTTGGATGGCTTCTATGTGTTTTAATAGTGCCTCTCAAAATAAATAATGAAACTTTCATAACATGGGGAAGGCACTGGCATTTTTTTAAAAGTCTGGTTACATGGAATGATGTCTAAAACAGGCTGATTTGAGTTAGAAAAAGCTATTGACTTCATGTGCCAGGAACAAATGTGGCATCCACCAGGAAGTGTGTTAACTTAGTGGGGTCACATTGCACCCTTGTTTTATGGTTCATTTCACTTATTTAATGTAATCTGAGAATTTAATGTGCTAAGAAAACATAATTAAATGAAAGAGTTAAGGATATTTGTATCATTTATGTGAAGCAAAATACTTGTTATTGCAGTTTTAAAGCAATAATAAATGACAAAAGTTCTTCCGCTATATTAAATTCTACAGCTAGCTATATGCATATCATCTTGCTTTTTTCTAAATATGAGTAGACATTTAAAGATTATCATATTGCAGGCTATGCACTATCTGACACTTTTTTCTTTAATAAGCAAAAAGCAACTCAATCATGCCAGCTGTTTTGTTTTGTTTTATTTTTAGTGTATTGACATAGAAAAAAGATGACTGAATTAAAAAAGTGAAAAACAATATTTCAAAGTTCCTGGCAAAGGGCCTATAACACCATGGTTTAAAATACCAGATCTAAAATTATTTTCGTCCAAGTTAACCCATGGGATGATCTGAATAGTTTGAGGGACTCTACTTATTTTGTTTGCCTTTGTAGGGTAATAACCTCATCTTCCTCCTTCTCCTCTTCCTCCTCCCAGCATCCCAAATTAAAACAAAAGGAAAATGTATTTATGCATTATTAAAACTCTTTTTTTTTTGTCTTTACAGTGATCTCAGTATGAACAACATCTCTAAGCTGCCTTCAAACGTTCTGCATAATCTTCGTTTCCTGGAAGAGCTGTATGTATCTTTGTATTTAAGACTGGTATAGCTGGGAACTAAACATATTCCTGGGTTTCTCTCTCACACTTACACTGGAAACCAGTTAACACAGCACAGAAAAGCTGTGAGTTTTGGCACATACGGAAACATTTAGGGCGGGGAGCCCAAATGCTTGTGATTCTGATTCTGGAAATGGACTTACTTTTCTAAGCAGAGACAAAGCCATACAAATTAATTTTTCTAAGGTTGTTTAAAGAGCTGGATTGCTATTTGGAAATAGTTAGGCAGCAGGATATTAAAAGTTTGAATGCTGGCTTGTGTTTATTAAAATAGCAAGTAAAATCATAATCAAAACCAAAACCTGCTGCCTCACTCTGCCTTTGTCAAGGACACTTGCATTCATGTTTCCTCGTACTAAGTTGTTTTGCTGTAATCACTGTAATGACTGTTTCCTTACTCTTTAGCTCTTAGCATCCCTCAAGGCTGACTATGGAACACAGAAACCTATATAGCTTATTTTCTCAAATTTGGTGTTTTTTGTTTTAAAAGTGTGCTATAAAAACTAGTTAATTAAACACAGGGTCATGAATGAAACACTGATAAAAAAGAGATGATGGCCAGCGATAAAAAGGAGGCAGTCTTTGCCCATGAGAGGTACATGTAACAAAGTGACCAAAATAAATACTAAATAGCAAAGGCTTTCAAATCCTCACTCTTTATAACAATACCAATAGGGACACTGCAGGTATTCCAACACAACTCACAAAATCAAGATTTAGTGGTCTCATTCCTCTCATTTTCATACTCTGCTTCTAATTCAACAGTATCACTTCTAATAGGTAGCAAACTGTTTATCATGGAAAGTGCAATTAATTTAAAACACCTAAATTAAAAATTCCCTTACTTTGGAAGAACACCATGCAATAGGAGTTGTTTCATGTGAGGATTAGGCTAAGAAGCTGAGCCGCAGTGGCACAACGGATTAAACCCTTGTGCTGGCTGAACCGCTGACCTGAAGGTCGGAGGTTCAAATCTGCGAGACAGGGCAAGCTCCCATCTGTCAGCCCCAGCTTCTCATACGGGGACATTAGAGAAGCCTCCCACAGGATAGTAACACATCTGGATGTCCCCTTGGCAACATTTCTGTAGAAGGCCAATTCTCTCACACCAGAAGCGACTTGCAGTATGTTCTCAATTTGCTTCTGACATGATAAAAAAAGGCCAAGAGGGATTGTATCTCAACCCTCCCTGCACTACTGAACATCTTCAGTCTGGAATTTGGCTTCAAATTAGAGATTTGATCGCTTGTTATTGAAATGGTCTCTTGAGCCTCAATCATGTTTAACATCTAGAAAAGGATCTAAACTTTCACTACCTGGCACTGTATAATACATAATGCCCGATTATTTGAAGAAGTCACAATTAGAATCCTGATAATTTCCCGCAATCCTGGTGCTCCAAATGCCAATACATTGTGGTGCTGCACAAAAAGTCGCCAGCCAGTCTCCTGGAAGAGCTTATAATTGAGTGAATAGCATGAAATACAGAACCTATAGCCTCTTGATTGTTTCTGCAGCTTTGAAGGAGAAAGACAGTAAGGCTGCTGGAGCTAGTTACAGCATTGTTCAATTAGACATATCCAGTTACTTCTCTAAGACTGAAAAGCTGGCCATTTCAAACAAAAGAAGAATAGGCGAAGCATCAGAAGGGTTTTTAGTGCATTATTATTAATCAACAATTTTGCAGCAGGTGCTCTTAACAGAATAATACACAGATAAATTCAGTTTCGGACAAAAGTGCTCTTTCCCCTTCCTTTTTCAAAAGAATTAGGTGGGATTTGGTTTCAGATAACTACTGTTCTGCAGATCAAGTGACAGAGCTGCCTCAAAATTTATTTGTGCCTTGGGTACTTGTACCAACTGACAAAACTAAACCTTTTTTTAAAAAAAAGACGACGTCGAACTCTTACATACTTATTTGGCCAGTATCAGTAGCAAATAATTTCCGAGATTGTTCAGTGATTTGGCAGTACATTTCAAAGAAACACAGCAAAAATATAAAAGAAGCTGTTACATTTTTCAAAGACAAATTTAGATTTTTAAACACTAAGAATTTAACAAAGGGAGACGAGTAGAATGTAATTTATCACAAATTATAGCTGAATGTGATAACATTTATGGAAATAGATATTAAGGGTTACACTCTCTGTTGCATGTGCAAACCCTGCTGTGTTCAGGACATTCATGCATAAATAGTTGTATACCTAGTTATATATTTTCCCCTCAGTTTAGAGAAGTACGATAGTAGGAGACCATTTACTTGCTATTTTGCTTAGGTTTCAGGCAGAGCCATCTGGGTAGGGTTACATTGCTATGACTGTACAATAGTCTCCAGTGGCACAATGGGTTAAACCCTTGTGCTGGCAGTACAGCTGACCAAAAGGTCGGTGGTTCGATTCTGGGGAGTGGGGTGAGCTCCCATCTGTCAGCTCCAGCTTCTCATGCGGGGGCATGAGAGAAGCCTCCCACAGGATGGTGAAACATTCTGGCATCCCCTGGGCAGAAGTGACTTGTAGTTTCTCAAGTCTCTCCTAACATGGAAAAAAAGCACCAAAAGAAGACGCAATGGAAGTAGAACCGAATGAGATATCTGTTCAGACTAATCGTACAACACACTACACATATGCAAGAAGGCAGCTGGAAATGACATTCTGTCTTGCAGTAAAGTTTTGCATAGGCTTTCAAAATCATGCTCCTGCTATCCAAAATTTCCTAACCTGACGATATAAATGCAGAATCAACTAAAATTCATATTGCAGTTATATCATGTAGGTACATTATCATGCTAAATAAGATAGAACTGAAAAATGTGCTTAGAGAAACATTAACAAGAAAAAGATTGCTGGTATACATAGTATTTGACAGGCTTTGTGTTTTTTTTTTACTCATAAAAGAGAGGACATGGACACACATTGAAGAACATTGTTCCCAGTTCCATAAAATTATAGGATAGATTAGCTGTAGTACGCAGCATTGCTTGAATATATTGCTCTAATGTGGGCACAGGCAAACTGTTAGGAATTGTGTTAGGAATTGTGGAAGTTGAAGTCCAAAACACCTGGAGAGCCAAAGTTTTCCCATACTTGCTCTAGTGGATAACTGGTTATATCTTTGTCAGCCCAAATATTTTCAGCATTAGATCTTAGCTTCAGCTTCCTGTAAGGAAACACCCTGCTCTCGGTCACCTGTTAAACACATTTTAAAAATGAAGTTCTCACTCAGAGCTGCTCCCCCTAATCGTTGCTTTCATATCTGCCATGTACCCTATATTTTAAGTAAAAATTGGTGAAAAAATATCCATCTGTTTTTACATAATGATGTGCCAAATAAATAGAAGAAACCTAATTAACTTATATGGTATATACACATTGTCTGCTTAAATTAATATGTGATAAATTGGGGGGGGGGGGAGAGCAAAACCGAATATTCTCATAACATGCACAAAGAAGTGAAATTCTCAGCCTGGTGCAAAATTAATGGTATGGCAATAACTGGAAAACAAAATTTTGTTTTAAATTATTACTAGTTTATTAGAGAAAATGTGTAGGAATTATATACAACCTCACCTAGATTGTCGAATTGTATTGTTTTCCTTGAATTTCTGGAATGTAGCCTAGTAATGAAGTTCTCTTTTACAAACATCCTCAGGAATCTGTAACTGGCCACAATGACCCTGGGTTTGATGAAATGTAACTGTTCTTATGTATTGGCATGCTGCTCAGTACAAACAGCAGCTTTTGACTTTGCATATGGTCTCAACATGTGCCTTTCTTTTGTGGTTATGATAACTTATTTTTACAGCCCTGCATTGATGGAGATATATACAATACAGAACATTAGCTGGGGTTTATAGCTTGGTAGTGCTTATTGATAAGACATGTCTCTCCCCATACAGGCAAACAGCCAATAGCACATTGTAAATTCCATTGCTACAAGGCAGACTTTGCCATTAAACAAGAACTCTACTGCAATGAGTAAAATAGAAAAAAGTGGTAAAATTCCACTCAGTATTCCATACTTTAAAGTACTAAATTTCATCTAATTGCCATATTTTGAAGGTTTATTTACTTGGTCTTGTATACTGTCTACAGATGTTTCTTTTAGGCAAGGCTAAATATTAAGCTCTGCAAAAAAAATAAGCCATGATAGCCATGGCCATGTGTAAACGGACCAAAGAAAATGGATTCACCTTGCAACCACTGCAAATATCCAAATGCTATGAGGCTAGTTTTGCAACAGAAGTTTTGCTTGCAGCCATTCATCCAGAAGCAGAAGAATTTGCCATTTATTTCCAGGGCTTCCTGGAGGCTCTGGAGTAATCTCACTGACCATTCTTGCAGTTTCAACCCATTATTGGAAAATGTGGTTTTGCTGTACAGTATAGATGGTTACATAGGAAATCCTGGAACCAGTTTGAGGCCTGAATGGTTATTGAAGAAACCACAAAGCACTGATGCACATCAAGGGTTTTCTTCTACCGCTTTGATTGGAGTTTGGTGTTGTGCTACCATAGTTTGAAATCAGCTCTAAATTTCTTCTTACTACCTAGCTTCAAGCTGCATTAAATGGTCAGTGTAGATGCAGCCTTTGGCTAGTAAAGTGGTGGCCCCTAATGCACCAACAGCCTGGCCAGCCATCTGGACTCGAAAAGAGTTTGAGGGTACCCTCATGTTGTATCCAGCGTAGCTCCAGAGCAGTTTGTTTCAGAGAGCTTTGGCAGATGGAGATGTATCCCATAACACAAAAGCCAAAATCAAAAGTCTTTTTCTAAAATGGTTGACCAAATGGCTAGAAATGTGTAGCAAGCTTTTGAGATCTCAGTAACTCTTCATCAGACAGGATGTTACAAAAAGAAGAGATGGAGGTCTAGATTGCTGACCTGACAGTGAAATAATGGAGTCTGCATGATCACAGTCTTGATATTGAGATCTCTGCAGACATTCAAAATAACACACTAGCATGGTGTTTTTTGAAAAGTGCATCCAGAGTGACTCTTGACTGGCTTGGCTCTGAAGGAGCTGGGGGTGGTGATGGCTGACAGGGATCTCTGGCATGGGCTGGTTCATGAAGTCACCAAGAATCAAAAGTGACTAAATGAATAAACAACAACAAAGCCAGAGGTTCAGTGAATTTAAAAAGCAAGATCTTATAGTATCCCAAACAGTAATAAAACAATGTGGGGAGTCAAAGATATGTTTTCATCATCATTAATACGTCTATTCAGATAATTATAAGTTATGTATACTCATCTTCTGTGATGGTATATTCAAGCTATGAGCCTCTTGACACTTACCTAGGAGTCATCTCCATGGAATTCAGTGAAAGTTACTTCAGATCAAACATACATATGAATGCATTTCTTAGTTATTTAGCAAGTTCCCAGTCTGTTCACCCTTCAGTTATTTGGAGGAGATACATCAAAGTAAATAAGATGTGTATTATGGCTTAAATCTACTTTTATGCAATTATGCCAGCAAAAAAAACAAAACAAAAAATAGAAGCATTGCTTCAGTTTGCACATCTTCTAAATCATTAATGGCAATAGGTTTATGCCCCCTGCTTATTAGTATAGCAAATTGTGGGTGAGGTTTACCATTTTTTTCTACCAATACACTAAAGAAAGTTTCTGAAGTCTTGACAAGGTAACAGGTAAGAAGAAATGTAGTGTAACTCATGTTTAAAGTATGACCTGTATGTGTTTGTGTGTGCCCCCTTCAGAAATCTGTAGGCTGTTTCTATACAGGTGCCCATCCCTATTTTATTCTATTTATGTGTTTGATAGTGACATTCCTGCTGCAGTTCTGCACACACTTTCTGCAGAGACATTTGCATTTATATGTTACACTCAGTGGGCCTTGCTTCTGAGTAAATAAGATTGTACTGTAAATCACTTAGATTATGTGATTACAAATTCAAGGACTTGGAAAGAGTTGTAATCCTCTCTCAGTTCAAGGAGAACGTAATATATAGCCTGGTACATGAACTTGTTCAACTTCCATCCTTTATTCATTTCTTTGATTGTGTTATGTTGAATCTTCCAGATGGACATTTTAAAAAGAAAAGAAAGCTATCAGAGTGAAACCAGATCAGCCCAAGATTCAAACTTTTTGTCCTGGTGGCTGAATCATACTAAAGTGAATAATAAAACGATTAAATAATCCACGGAGTGGATTAAAATAGCTCATATATTTAGCTGACAGCACTGTCGTGTGTGTGATCCAATCTCTATTATCTCATTGGCAATAATGTGGATTGGTTTAGGATAAGAGTTACATTAACAGTCCATGCAGCATTCTGAAGACATGATAATTTAAACAAAACAAAATATTATAATCCCAGCACATCTCCTGATGAAGTGATTCCTTCAGAGTAGCATGTTACACAAGTCATAACACCATCTGTAACATGTTAGTTATGGAAATAATGATCCTTTTTCAAACAACATTTTTTGGTTCTGGTTCTGCTTACTAAGCTATACACCACTCCCACATGCACAATCACTTGAGGCCTTTCTGATGTTTTGGAGTACAACTTCTATCATCCTCATACTAGTGTGTGTGTGTGTGTGTGTGTGTGTGTGTGTGTGTGTTTGTGGTTTGAGGTTTCATTTATGATATCTAGTAGAGGTGTGCAATTTTTTCATTAGTCTTCATAAATCATATCATTTTAATGATTTATAGGATTTTATTGTGTATTTTATATTGTATTTAATAATCTGGTGTTCATGTATTTATTTATTTGCCTTGCCTTGTATGTGAAAGACCTATGGTCTAAGCATCGAATAAACTTATCCAATCCATAAGTCATATCAAATTCATTAAATTCATACTTACAATGTGATATCCAATGCATGGGTGTGGCCCATGCCAAAAAGTTAAGAATCAAACCTTACTCAATACTTTTTCATTTGAATTTTGTAAATCTCAGAAGCCTACCAAATCAGTTTTATTTTCAGCACAAGGAAGCAAAGCAAAGCCAAAAAGGCTCCCTTTTCTCTTTAAATTAATGGTCTCTCACCAGTAGGAGAGGGAAGTAGCAGGGAGAAAGCAGAGTTCACTGGGAAAAAGACTGAGAAAGCACAGAATTCTGGGAAATGTGTAGTTTGGGAAAGTGAGAAGCCCTCTGCCAGAGAATTCAAAAGGCCTTGCCCTAAACTACATCTCCCAGAATTCTGCTCAGCATCAGAAAGCCCCAATCAGGATAGAGGAGATATTTATCCCTCCATAGCAGCAGCCAGTCAGAGTTCAAATAAATTGTTAAATCTGCAAGGAGGAGGACTGATACTTCTAGTAAGAAAATTGCTGGGCTGGGCTAGGAAGAAATCTCTAAATGGAAGTTCTATTGGTTAATATGAAGAACATTCAATGAGATAGCTGTTGTTGCTTTTTAAAAAAAACACATACATTTGTCAAAACTTTTAAAAATTCCCTAAAATCAGTAGCAGGAACGAGAGGGGCTAGGCGAGGGTGTGATCCCCTTTTATCTTGTGTCATTGTATAAAAAATTCATGGATATAGCTCTTGTAGGTTTTTTTAATGTTGTTTATAAAACCTTTGAAAATTTCCCAAAGATCTGTGGATATGTGAAACATTCTGAAACGATGGGCTAACAGTGGTAAATGTGTTCTATCATTGTAGCAATTTTCATCCCAATAGCTATAAAAATATGCAGCTTTAGCAACAAGTAGCTTACAGAACATGAGTGCCTGTCTTAATACTGCCAGTGCTAATATTAAGATGGAACTGAAATGAAATATAAAATGGATTAATCTCTTCGGGTAGATCTACTTTTGGTGGACTGACCCTGGGTATGAGTCACACATGACTCCCCCAGCCACTGTGAGGTAGGAAGGGAGTCCTGACTGACCAGGAGTGCTCAATGCAGTTTGGCGCTGCTGGGAGGTCACCCTAATCACCCCCTCCTTTTCTCTATGTTGCTGCAGTCTCTGAATACAACACAGATCCTGGTTGTCCACTGTCACATGCAGTGAGTGGAGCAACAGGGCAAGTAGGGATCCTGCCTCTTCCCCTCCCTTCCCAGAGTGCCCTGGGTGACATGAAGGTGAACATGAAGGTCAGGAGAATGGGAGGGGACAGTGACTGCCATCCTTTGTCTCTGGGCCACTCAAGCCCAGAAAACATGGTATAGAAGTGGGGACAAATGCAACCAGTTCAGCCTTTCTGATAGGCCCAAAGTTGAGGGATACTCCAAATTCTGGGCCAGCATTCAGATTATACTCTGACTTTAGCTAATGTAGATTGAGGTGAAATTAAGGTGACCTTGCCTTGTGTTATCCCAAATCAGCTTCATGTGGCATTTGGCCACCAAGGACTTGATCTGGCCCTACACCAACCTGATTGCCCTTTGTTACACTTCTAGCCCAGCCCTTTTGAATTTTTGCACGTTCCCTTGGCTTTATTTAGGAGCCAGTGCACTAACTTTGAGCCCAAACACAGCCTCAATTTTGTCTCTGCCATGATACTGTTTTTATGATGTTGCTTTGAGATTGTGGTATGTTTTTATTTGATTGCTGTTGTTGCTTTTATTTTAATAAGCTTTTTTATTTGTAATCTTTGGGCTTGTCCCTTTGAAAGCCGCCCCAAGTCCCCTTGGGAAGATGGTGGTGGGGTATAAGAATAAAATTATTATTATATTATTACTTGTATGTATTTCCTTACATCATCCATTCACACTGTTTTAAGAAATGCATCCATAAAATAATGAAGAGGGAAGTGTGTTCCTTCTAATTTGCTTGTGCAAATTGAGACAAACATAAACATACTTGAAACTGACTCCATTCTGCTTCTAAGAAGATATGGATTAATAGGCAAGTAGAGTTCTGAAAATTAATGCATCATGCCAAGAAACACATTTTTAACTAATATGCAACATTTTTCAGTCACATGACACAATATTTCTGGATGTATCATTGTACATGTGGCAGTTGCCTGTGGTGAAGATGAGACTTCCACTTTCTTGTTCAATGAGGTCCAGGTGCTGTATTGTATAAGCAAAGTATGGTTTGATGGATTAGGATCCTGGCCATAGCTTCCTATAGCTAATGAGGGCAAGCTGTTTGTACATATGCTTCTTGTGATTTCTACTGGGGCTGGTACAACGTTTTAAAAATGATATATTGAAGGTAACCGGTCTATAATCTGGAATATTGTTTATTACTGAAGCAGAATATCCAGAACAATTACATGGGCATATAAATTGGATTAATTGAACCAAATGCATTTGCTAAGATAATGGACTGAATAGTTATATGATGTTATGATCAGAATATTAATTATGACTAAACAACTCTCTTAAACCATTGCTACTGGTGCTGATGTTTCCAGCATTGTTGGTCTTGTACAATTTCACATACAAATTAATTCCACATGAAATGAAATTGATTTATCTTCTTTGTTTTAAACCTACAGACGTTTAGCCGGAAATGGCTTGACACACATTCCCAGAGGAGCATTTGCTGGGCTTTTCAATCTCAAAGTATTGTAAGTAGGCTGGGCATTTTTTTTTCAAACATTTACGTTTTTTATTAAAATCTTGCAGGATCTAGTATTGATGTATCACTTGTGTATTTAAGTACCTTATTACTTTGATCAAAATTTCCAAAAGGAACGTTATATATGTTTTGAAATCTCCTTTGCTTCATTATGGTGAAGAAAAACTGGGCTTGAATAGATGAGTGATGTCTCAAAAACAGTTCGCTCATCAGGTTAAAGATGTCTGGACAATATTAATCACAAAAGGAATTTCATGTAATCATTTCTTTAACCTCAAAAAGAGGGCAGGTTTTAATCCTCAAAGTTCAGAGACATTTCAAATGGTGATGGAAAACAGGGGATCATTTTATTTCCATTTTAATGGGTAGGTGTGGCAAGGAGAAAATGAACAGATTAATTACTGTAAAAATTGAACTTGAAAAAGCTGTAATCACCCCTGATACCAAGGAGCCCCCGGTGGCACAGTGGGTTAAACCCTTGTGCCGGCAGGACTGAAGACGTACAGGTCACAGGTTCAAATCCGGGGAGAGCACGGATGAACTCCCTCTGTCAGCTCCGGCTCTCCATTCAGGGGCATGAGAAAAGCCTTCCACAAGGATGGTAAAACATCAAAACATCCGGGTGTCCCTTGGGCAACGTCCTTATAGATGGCCAATTCTCTCACACCAGAAGCGACTTGTAGTTTCTCAAGTCACTCCTGACACAAAAAACAAAAACCCTGATACTGATCTGAGGTAGCCTACATCTTGGCAAGGCAATTACCCAGTGCCGCTCTGGAGTAGGCTACTTCAGATCAGCATCAGAGTAATAACTCATTACAATGCATGATTGCTACACCAGCAGCCCTTGAACCAGCTCAATGGTTGCACAGCGGCTGCTTGAGTGAGCAGGGGAAAACTGGTTTGCTGTAACTTGACTACTACCTAAACTTGCCCTCTCTAACTTACCTTTGCTACTCCTGGTGGCACCAAAATGGATACTCCTTGGCACCTGGAATAATAATATCTAGCATGCTAGGGAGAAAGGGGAGGGGGAGAGTTAGAGAAGGAATTCCTCCTCCTCCTCAATTTCCTCAGTGTGCTGGATAGCATCATTCCAGTTGCCAAGGGGCAGAGGTGACCCTAGGTAATTTTCAACGGTAAGCAAACAGTATTTTGGCACAACCCCCCCCCCCCAACCAATCATTGATATATATTTTCTGTTTGTCGTGGGAGTTCTGTGTGCCATTTTTGGTTCAATTCCATCATTGGTGGAGTTCAGAATGCTCTTTGATTGTAGGTGAACTATATATCCCAGTAACTACACTTGCCGCATTGCTCCCTTGCCTGGCCGCTTTGGGTCCGGAGGCGTGCCTGAAGACCCCGGCGTGTGCACCAAAAGTCACCTCTTCTCCTGACTTTCTCCTCAGCCATTGGGACCGAGAGAGAAAGAGAGAGAGAGAGAGAGAGGTGGAGATGCCCACCTTTCCTGAAGGTAGGCGCAAAAACAAAGGAGGGAGCGGAGGTGGGAGATACCTCCAGCCGGAGGGGCTCTCTCTCTCTCTCTTGGTCCCAATGGCTGAAGAGAAAGTCAGGAGAAGAGGCGACTTTTGGTGCGCATGCTGGGGTCTTCAGACATGCCTCCGGACCTGAAGCGGGCCAGGCATGGCGGCTCCTCCCCTTGGCCCACCCGCAGATTGGGGAGAGGAGGCGGGTGGAGTGCCGGGGGATCGGGAAAGGGAGCCGGTCATGGGGAAGGGATTGAACGTGGAGAACGATTGAGCACCGGCTCTGCTCGCGCACCCGGTGGCCAGGTGGAGCAGGAACGAGAGGGGCTAGGTGAGGCTCAAGGTCCCGCCCCCTTTGGGAAGAGGATCGCCCGGCAGCGAGGCAAGAAAGCCGAGGCTCCCCCCGGACTGCTAGGGCTGTTGTGAGCTGAGGGGGGCTCCTCAAGTGGCGGTCGAGGGGCATTTACAGAGGCGCCTCTGCGCCCCTGGCAAAAAAATGTGTTCTGCGACCGCTTACTTCGCGTAATGGATGAGCCGCCCCTGCCAAGGGGTGACTACTTCCATTGTGGGGCCCACCAGGCTAAAGTAGGTTAAGGAGGCAAAGCAGGTGCTATCTCTTTCCCCCAAATTGGAGGCAGCACAACTGATTGGATGGCCCTGAAGTCACTGGATATTCCAGAGGTTTGAGAAAGCTCCAGAGCTACAGAATCAGTCCCACATACTTTAGAGAAAAAAATTCAGGAAACACATTTGTAGTGTTCTGCTAGACATCTGCTGGTTGATTTCCCCCCCCCCCCCCCCGATTATCACCTTACTGATATTGTAGTGATATTGCCCCTCCTTACCCACCCCCATGCTATTTAACATGTACATGAAACTCCTGGGAGAGGTCAGCTGGTGTTTTGGAGTGCAATGTCATCTATATTTAGATGATACCCAGCTCTATTACTACTTTCTACTCAAAGCCAAGGAAGCTGTCCAGGTTGTAAAGTAGTGTCTGTCATCCGTAATGGATTGTACAAGGACAGACAAATTGAAACTTTATCCAGACAAGACAGAGATGCTCCTGGTCAGTCAGAAAGCAGATCAAAGAATAGGGATCCAGCCTGTGTTAGATGGGGTCACACCTGCCCTGAAGATATAGGTCTGCACCAGTTCTTATACTCATGTGATTAAAGTATCATCTCTAAAACCCAATTTCATGATAGGGGTAATTAGCACCATGGTACATAGTGATGGTATAATCTTTAAGAATATAGTAGGGCTCCAGTTTGCCTTTTAATAAATATTAAACCATGAATAATATAACAAAAATGACTAATCTAAAAGCATGTTGTTTTCTCTCCCTTGCCCCTCTCTATATGTATGTCTGTGAACTTATATTTACAAATGCAGAATGCTTCAAAACAATCTGCTAAAACAAGTTCCCTCTGAGGCCCTGCAGAACCTCCGCTCTCTCCAGTCTCTGTAAGTATATGCATCTTTCTTATACAGTAGTATTGCACATTAATAGAATAACACAGAAAGACGGTGTGTGTGTGTGTGTGTGTGTTATAAATCTACAATTACTGTGTTGTGCCACAAAAGCATGCTTCTTTGTTTCTAAAACTTCACAAAAGATCAGATAATAATGGGTTTGAGATTAAATATTTTACTGCTTTTTTATTATATTTCTGGCCTTGTTTTTGCCTTTCAAAGGAATGATTAAAGCTATCGAACAGATTTAAGCAACATATGGTCCATGCATAGTGTCGGCTTTAGAGTTCTAAGTTCTGAAACATTTATTTTAAATAAAAGAAGAAATAGTCCTGAAAAATATCACCAAACACAAAATATTAAAACAAAAGTGGAAGTAAAAAGGGGGGGATTTGTGTTAGTGATATTTTCCAAATCTGGGGATTTGTGAGTCCATGTGTTGACCTCTATTGCTTTCAGTTCCATACTCAAACTCCAGAAGAAACTGGACCTGCAGAAATGATAAACTATAGAAACAAAAGGTTCTTTATCATGTTGAGAGTGAATTGAAGTTTCAACTGGTTTTCAGAATGAGCTCTCTCTTTCTCTATCTTTTACTCTTTGAGGCAGATATCTTTCCAGAAAGCCAGAAAAGAGGAGGCCAAAGAAAGGAAGGAATAAAATTGAGGAGTTGTGTGATCTGTTTAAGAGCCTGGTTTTTGGTGACAGAATTAAAATAAAAAAAGGGAAAGTGCATGGTCAAATAGGAACTTTAAACAGCTGTGGAGCCCACAGCAGAGACAATGATAAAAGCATGTGCAGAATAGCTACAATCACTTGAAAGAGGATCATTGGTAATTGTGACCTCTTTGGAAAAAAGAAAACCTGTTTTCTAAATGAGTTGTTCCACTCTGATAAAAGTGCACCCTCTGATAAAAGTTTCTTATTTCATACTACCTGGTAATTTTCTGTCCATAAAGTGATTCTTGTCTTGGTTTCTGATTTAAAGTACAGATTACTTTGTAACTATTGAAAACAGGAAATCTTTTTTTTTAAGGAACACAAAGCTTTAAAACAAGCAAGGTGTGTCTTACAAAATAAAAGCTTTCTTGAAGGTATAAGAAAGTTTAGAGCATAGTGTCCCGTATGAATATTGATGGTTCCTTTGTCTCATTTTCCTTGTGTTTATTGATGGCTAACCAAACTAACTTTAGTGATGCTCTACAAGTTGGTTAGGCAGAACTATTTTTCTTTCTAGTTTAAGTATTTGCTGAATGGGTTTCCCTGAAAAATATTCTTTATTTCAAAATGTGGGGCAAATTTCATGAATTACCATAGAACACTTTATTTTTCTTCTTTCATCTCCCAACCCCTCTCTCACATATTTTAACAATTAGAATTAGGATAAATGGTCAGTTTCTTTCAGCCCCCTGATAGTTATGAAGCAGTTGCCTCACTGTGAATAATGGTATTCATCGATTGTGTTAATTTTAGATGGATTCAGGCCAGCCCTACCATTGAGTGGAGTGAAGCAGCTGTCACGTGAGATAGAGAAATGATGGCTCCCCATGCCCGCCTCCCCCCTCCCCCAAAGCTCTTCAAGTAATCCCCTTTCTTGGGAAACAGGACTATGGGTCATAGATCTTATCCTGCACCTCTTAAAGCTAGTCTTCTGTCTTCAAATGAGATGGAGGAAGCCATCCTATTTCCAGTGCTGATATTAGATTTAACTGCTGATTGAGTTGATTGCATATGACACATTTTGCCCTTTGGCTCTAGATAGCTTTGTGACTAGCTAAATACTAATTATTCTTGTAGATATTTGTACAGTTCTGGAGGGATGCAAGAACAACCTTTGTTTTCACTCTCAAAGACTTTAGATTCCTCTCTTCTAATCCTAACTCATTTCACCCAGTAATCTTGGTCTAAACTGTAACCATTACCCTTTCCTCACAGTGCCTTTTCATTTCATTTCATGTCATGTCATTTCATTTCTGTGTTGCCTTTCTCCAAGGGTGGAACTCAAAATACTCTTAAATGAATAGCACTCAAGAAGAAAGTAATTTGTTTTGTTTTTCATCAGTCTTTGCTGAACTCTATTATTGTGGAAGCTGTTCATAACAAAGGGAAAATAATCAACAGCAGTTGATAAGGAGAGCCATAAAGTGAAATGATGGGCATATATTGCTGCTCATAAGCTGTTTTTGCTATCTATGTTATAGTTTCCAAGCCTATATGGCTGTCTGTCAACACTTTGGGAGAAATTAGTAATTTCCCTGCCTTGCCCTCTAGAAGATCATAAAAATGTGGCACTTTTGTTCCAGTTAGAGAAACGTTGTCTAGCAGAGTAGCAGAATAAGATAGCCCAACATCCTGCAGAATGTACTTTTAGTTTGATGGCAAGAGCCAATCAAGTTCAAGTTCACTTTATTGAACTTGAACTTGAAGAGCCAATCATTTGAGAATAATGCTTAGCTTCACTTAACTAGAAACACTGAATATTTAGGTCCCTCATTGTGGATCTATCCTTCATTGGTAATAGACCATTTAATGTAAAAAATAGTGAAACAATGACCTATCTTTGTAGAACAAGGGTAACGATGAAGGCCAGAATCAGATGGCATCCAGACACAATAAAGTGTTTACGGTTGTTCTAATCCAAAGTCATAGGTTTCATTTCAGAAGAACCTCTTCTGATTATCAAAATATCAGTTCTGTACATGGCGGAAGGGTGTCCCGTCCCCCCCCCCCCCCCCCCCCCCCCCCGCCCCAGTTGAAGGAGGAGAAGGCTCCTCAGGTCATCCTCGCTTTCAGCCAGCAAAGTCATATCATCTGCATATCTAAGGTTGTTAATGTTTCTTTCAGCAATTTTAACTCCAGCCTTGGATCCCTCAAGCCCTGCACATCGCATGATGTGTCCTGCATACAAGTTGAATAGGTTGGGTGAGAGTATACAACCCTGCCATATGCCTTTCCCAATCTTGAACCAGTCTGTTGTTCCATGGTTAATCATTATTTTCTTCTTAAACACTCTTTCTCAGACACTACATTCATATTTTCTTTGAGATTTTTTTGTGTGTGTCATAAGTGACTTGAGAAACTGCAACTGGTGTCAGAGAATTGGCCATCTGCAAGGATGTTGCCCAGGGGATGCCCAGATGTTTGATGTTTACCATTCTTGTGGGAGGCTTCTCTCATGTCCCCACATAGGGAGCTGGAGCTGACAGAGGGAGTTCAACCCACTCTCCCCAGATTCGAACTGCTGACCTGTCAGTCTTCAATCCTGCCGGCACAAGTGTTTAACCCATTGTGCCATGAAAGTATATCATGGCTGTAACTCAGAGCATACTTTGTTTCAAAATAAGAATTCAATATTATTTTCTTACATAAGCTTTTTTTTTTGCTTATTCTAACTTTTTAGGCATAAAAAAATTGTAGATACACTGTAATATATATGTGCACAGTACGTTTTTTTAATGTGGCACTGGATTAAATTCCCTGTGCTACATGAGTTATGCTTGATGTTTTACATGTTTCAAGTTGTATCCTCTTTTATATGTTGTCTGTAGTAGAAAATGTTATGCCCCTAAATTGGCCCTCTTTTGATCATAATAGCTCCTTTTAAACTTCCCATGTTATCCATATGTGTAAATTATAAATAAGATATTGTTCGTGGGCTAATGGACTTCACTTTGAAAGTGCCAAAACTTTGATCAGCACAACTAGAACAACTGAATGAAAATGTAACATTTCATTGCATATTTTATAGATCAGTGTGCATTGTTTACATTATGACAGGAAGCATAATCACTCATGAAATGTTTTATTATCTGCAAGTAGGAAAATGGTTCCTAAGAGTAAAAGAAAAGATTAGATAACAGAGAAGTGTTTGTGGCGGTAGATTTTAAGAGTACTTTGTGAATGTTTTAACTTGGTTACATAGTTTGTAATATGTTACATAGTAGCTTTTTAGTCCAGCTTGTTAAAAATAGATTTTCTTGAATTTGAATCAGAAATCAATATTGTTACTTCTGCATTAATAGGCAATGCAAGTTTATTTTAGACTTGGATCACAAAGATTAATAGTCAGCACACAGATTTACAACTATTGCTTTTTGTAGGAATAACTCCTGCTTTAAAATACATTTTACACATACAGGCAGTCCCCAAGTTACAAACCATATAGGTTCTGAAGGCTTGTATGTCGAAACAGGAACATTTTAAATGCAATTCCAGCCAAAGACATATATTTCTTACTTTGGATAGCATAGGGAAAGGCGAACACCTCTGTGATATTTGTTCTGATGTCTGTGCTCCTGTTCAGAAGTTTCATCTCACTTTCTGACTCTGTGAGAACTGAATTTTGAAAAAATTGGCTTGTTGTGGTGATAAAACCTTTTCCCCATGATAACTTTCAAGAGTGAATTTCCCTTCCTAGGGTAGATTTCTCTCACTTCCTGTTGTCTCACCCACTGTTCTTAACTATGAGCCTCTTGTAAGTTGGATGTTTGTAATCCAGGGACTGCCTGTACTACTATCTGTAGGCCTCCAACTAAATAAATTGTGAGAACTGTGTAGTCTTCCAAGTATTGTTGAACTGCAATATGCAACATTCCTTGACAATTGCTGTTTTGAAGTATTGCACAGTTCCACTTCCTGGGCTCAATTCACTGTGAGTGATATGTAGACCAAACCCAGTGGAATCATTCTATTTATAACAAGTTCCATTCATTTCAATGGTGTTATTAATATTTGATTTAGCCCTTTGTCATCTTCTATATAAATTGAATTCCAAACACATGGTCAAACCTTTTTTTATGCTTTCCTTTAGAATAATTGTAATTGAACTCAATGGGACTTTTATGAATTAGTATGTATAGCCTTATTTATATAGTGGAACCTTAACTTAAGAGCACCCCATCTTAAGAGTGTATTGAGTTAAGACCAGTCACTCAGCCCTGGTTTTGCTTTGACATACACAATTGTTTTGAGTTAAGAGGTAGTGGCAGAGG